GCCTACTCTAGGCCTACTATGCATCAGGCTTTTTTGCACTAACCTCATTTAATTCTCATGGCAATCTAGTAAAATCAAAATTAGCAATTCTATTTTAAAGACAAGGAAACTGAGACTCAAGAGAACACAGTTGCTTTCTAATGTCCTATAATTAACAAGTGGTAGAGTTTGACCCTAACTCAGATTTGCCCAGCTCCAGAGCCCATGCCAAAGCTCATTTTAATAAACTCATCATCTACAAAATCATGACACCGTCTCATGCACTAAAGAACAATAGCATCGGAGAGGCTTGGCTCCTATCCTCAAGAATCCCACAGCCCAGGAGGAGCATGAAACATGCAAACAACCAAGAAGGACTGTCCTGGGGAAGAGCCTCCAGCAGACAGGTCATCAACCCCCTGCTGGGGAAGATGGGCAGGAGAGGAATGGATCAGGACCACTGAGATGGAGAAAGCTTCAAAAAGCAAATGAGGTTTGATCTGGCCTTGAACGATGAGTAGAGTTTCAACAGATGGAGAAAGTGTGGCAGAGTCTTATTTTTAATTTAAGGAGACTTCTGAGGGCTTTGTATTCAGTACCAGGTAAAGAACACCCAAGCTCAGTATTTTACAAAGTAACAGGAGTCTTGTTGTCAACTATCAATTTAAATTTCAGTCTGTATAGACTGCACCGGTGGGTGGTAGAGACTTTGTCCTGTTGTCTTGTGTGGACTGTGCCTGCTGTAGTCAAGCCTCTTCCCTTTGGCATCTCACTTTTATGGTAGGCAGTTTTGTGACTACAACATTGGTCAACATGTAAATTCTAATAAACCTCACAATTAGCAAGCCCTAGAAATCCTGCTTATTGCATACATTTTAGATACTGAGTGGTGAGTACTTCTCTGTGGTAAAGATCTTGACACAGCAAACACTGCTGATGATATGATTGTGGTTCTTGGTGATCGAGGGCACTTTGTTATCCCAGCACCCAGGACCTTGACCCCCACTACACTGCTATGATTCTCACATGCAGGCAGTTGTACCCTGGGGCTAAGAGTAAGTTCACAATGTGGTAGATACCGGGCGCTGCCAGTCACGTGAGGGTGAACACAGACTGGATGTCATATGAGTACACACCCTTCCTGGTGCAGGTTTTGATGGCATCCCCAAGAATGGTCTTAGGATGAAATCGACAGGTTTTCATGGAAAACTGAGCCACCAGTTGACGTAAGCTTCCGACTGCACCAGCCGGTCCTCTCCCTCCTCCTCCTCCCTGCCTGCCTCTCTCTTCCCTCCCATCTCTTTTCCCCTCCCTTTCTCCCTCCCCTTCTTCCCTTCTTCCTTCCCTCCAGCTCCTTTCTTCCTGTTTCTCCATCTTCCTCCTTTATCCTCACCTTCTTTCCTTCCTCGCTCTCCATTCCTTCCTACTTCCTTCCCTCCCGCCTACCTCCTCTGGCCCTTCCTCTCTTTTTGTTCCACAGCTTTGCACTCCATCTCCCACTGGTCTTCCTGCTGAGCCTCTGGAGGGTTTGTCTGTCCAGAAGACGGTTGTTCTGCATCTGCTTCTTCCCACATCTCAGATTAGCCCTGGGACCAGCCAGAATTTCCAAGAGCATGTTGAGGGCTGATGCCACTTAATGACATTCAGGCCACAGAGCAAGGAGCAGCTGCCCTGCAGGTGGTATTCCAGAAATGCTCCCCAGCACCAGCAGGAAGCTGGGTGAGTTTAATTTGGTGACGTAAATTTAATCATTTGCCTCTTTGTAAATGGGGACACAGGAAGAAACAAAAATGATATTCTTAGTAGTGTTCAAAGAGAATGGCTCCTCCTAGTAGCACACATGTCTAACTTTTTCTTTCACTGGATTGCAGCATTGCAGGATTTT